AGCCTCCTGAGTAGCTGGGATTACAGGCATGCGCCACCATGCCCAGCTGATTTTTTGTATTTTTAGTAGAGACAGGGTTTCACTATGTTGACCAGGATGGTCTCGATCTCTTGACCTCGTGATCCACCCGCCTCGGCCTCCCAAAGTGCTGGGATTACAGGCGTGAGCCACCGCGCCCGGCCTCGTAACTATATTTTTTAACTGATGTTTTGTAGACCACGGAAATAAGACAAATGAGATTCCAGGACTCTTTTATTACGGAGACTTAACACTGAATGAGAGCCTAGGAAAGGGAACTTACAAGTACCACAAAACCCTGGCTTAACAGGAAACAAACCAACAAAGGCCCTCCCTACAAATGAATAACCTGCAACCTTCCACCACCTTCCAAAGGTGGGGAACGCCAGAATCCTGGTTCCCAAGTCAAAAACCAGTAGGGCCCAGACGATCCAGAATCACCTTGAGGAGAAGGCAAGGGGCGCCGCGAGGGGTCACTGCAGACGCCCGCCGGGCCCGCTAACCCCGACCGCCCCCCGGGAAGGAGCAAGGTAGGGCGCTCTCCCCTCCTCCTCCGCACTCGGGGATCCAGGAAGGAGAAGAAAGAGACTCTGAGCCTTCCCGGTCGGTCACGGGGGCCCGCGTTCCCCACCGGCTGGATTCCCTCGGTCCCAAGGAGCGCAGGCCGCACCCCCTCCCCACCTCCGCGCTCAGCGCGCGCGCCTGACCTACGACCTCCGCGAGAGGCGTGTGCCGGACCCGGAACCCCCCGCCCCGGCCCCAGCCCTGGCATCACTCACGGAGCCCGAGAGCCGCCGTCAGCACCGACCACGGCCAGCGCCTCCTGTCTGGGGCTGCAATCACCGCCCAGGCTCCGACGGGCGCTGCCATCGTCCAGCCGTTGCAGTCGTCGCCGCAGCGTCCCTGAGCCCCGGTCCTCGCTGAGGTTGGCTCCGCTTGGGGAAGAAGGTTCTGATCTCTCCGCCACCCGCACTAGGTGGCACCTCCACGCTGAGCTCCCCACTCTGGCCCCAGCCGTGGCTCGCCAGCTCTGCACCCTAGCCTCAGCCCCGCTCCGGCCCTCGCTGTCCGCTCATTGGCCTGCCCGCGCCCTTTGAAGGACGCGATTGGAAAGACAGGCTGTCCATCACCCATCCGCCAGGAAAGGCCCGCCTCCTCGGTCCCACCCAGGCGCCTCGGCCCCGCGCGGAGGCCGGGTCTGCAGCGGTCCCAGGCCACGCCGAGCCCTCCGCCTGCCTGCGTGGCTGTCCGCCTGTGGGCCCCGCCAGCCAGCATCTCCTCTGCCTCTCTCAGGGTCCGGTCCCACGGTCCTCTTCATTGTCTCTCCTCGCCATGGGTCTTTGCTGGGTACTAACCTCGCCTCTGTTTCAGCTCTTCTTGGTCTCTGCCGACCTCACCTAACGAAAAAGAAGGAATTCATTTACCTTTAAAAGAAAGAAAAAACAGAAAGAAAAATAGTGAGGCATTCGATTGATGGGGGAGAGACTTCTGATTCAGTCGTCCAGGTAGAACACATTCCCCTTGCCCTGTCTCCAAGGCCTGTCCTTCGCGTGTGAACTAGATAATGTATGTGTTGCAATTTGAGAAATCTGGTGGTTTAAAAAGAAGTCTCCATTTTGCCTTAACCACCTCTTAGGAACCTCCCTCTTGGTTTCAGAAGGATGGGAATCTGGAACTCTTTCCTACTACCTAGAAAAAAAATGAAAGTGCTTTTGGATTGCTTTGCTTTTGCATGTCAGCGTTCCTGTCTGTGTCTGTGAAAATTAGAATGCATAAGTTCCCCGACACTGGTTGCTCACCCTGCTCGCCTTGGGTTGCCTTGGCCTGGAACAGTCTGCCACCCACAGGTTGCCCAATCAATAGAAGTATTTGGAAGGATCGTTATGAAAATGGCTTACAAAAGGGAAAAATGGAGGGACAGGGGCACAAGAAAGATAAGTGTGAAGGAGAAAAAGGGAAGATTCAGGTGGGAGGCTGATAGTGAGGAAGGGAAACACGCTTTAGACAATTAGGACATGGGGGAGCGGATAATATGGTGAGAACCAAAATGCAACCTCTCACTTCAGGATTTTGTCTAAAGTCAGTCTTACCAATGCCACTCCTGATATCTGTGCTGTTTTAGCTAACATTGTAGTACGGCAAAATCAGAAGAACATTAGTGAGAAAAAAAAACCTAAAAAAGCATACTAGAATCACTTTGCCCTATTTCTGTCATTAGATCCTTTTGAACTGTGTCTCAAATGCCATAGGTTGGGAAAGATACCAATGCATTAATTCAACTATGGATGTAGAACACCAGGGCTTTACTCTCAAGAAGCACGTTGGCTACCAGTGTACACAAACAACTACTCGATTACATTTGTGAAAATGCTTGAAGAGTGAATGAAGGAGAAACCCAAAGCCTGCAGGGACAGTGGCTCTCAGCAATGTTAAAAGCCTCTCTGCTGATTGTGATGTACTCAGCCGCATATACCTCCCACTCCCAAAAACCACTGGCCCAAGAGGCATCTAGAAAGATTCACCAAGGATAAAACAGTTACGGTGGGCTTTAAAGGATGAATCAAAGTTCACCAGCGAGAAAACAGGAAAAGGTTTTCAGAGAACCAAAACTACCTACCAGGTGTGAGAAACATTAGGTGAACTCTGTGTTTTGCAACTTGAGGGGAGTGAGGGAAAGAGGGGAAGAGAGAATGCCGGAAAAGCAGGCTGCGGCCATATTTTGAAGAGCCTTGAGTTGTGTTTGTTCTGGAGGCAGTGGAGAGTGGCGAAAGGGCTGTAAGAAGTTCAGATCTGTATCTTAAAAAGGTAACCACTGCGGCAGGGCAAGAGTGAAGAGAGCAAGAAATAAGGTATTGACAGTGGTGATGAGAAGACAGGATTTGACAGACATTTCATGAAAAGAATGACAGGATTGGATATAAATTGGGTGAGAAGTATAATCAAGAGAAAAAGAATCCCAATTTCTAGCCTGTCTATCCTTGTCTTCGAGATCTGTTGCCAGAAGAAAATTGGAATGTGGGTGGTGTTCCAGGAACCCTGAGAATTTGACTCCTGGTGGATAACAATCAGAAAGATTCAAAGAGGAATCCTCAGGCCATCTTGAGAAAGATTTGCCTGAAGCCAAATCAGTTTAACAAAGTATGTCTTAATCCAGAAGCACTGTTGCTAGAAATTTTTGAAAGTTGGAAAATTAGAGTTCTAGTGTCTCCTCCCATTGGGGACAGAGACACCAAATTGGGGGAAGGAGAGTAAAAGGGTCCCTAGGGAGGTGTTTATTCTTACAGGAGAAGGCTGTATCACCAGACTTCTGTCTTCACTGTAGCTGAGATAAAGTGTTCCTCAAGATACCCGGTATCTTCCTGGGCTCTGCAACTGTCTGTGTACTACATTTGCTTCACAGGGACCGAATTCTAGGGAAGAATGTGCCCTGGACAGATAACGCAGACATTCCTCCTACCAAATAGGGATATTTCCCCCTGTCAATGAAGCAATCGATATTCTGAGTTTTGCTATTGTCAGTCTTTGTGCATCATCGTTATGACAGTCAAATGAGATACTCAGGTATTTAGCCTACTGAGTAAAAGACTAGTTCCTTTTTTAATGATTAGAGAGAAGTAGAAGTTGGGAGAAAAAAACCTAAAATGATAATAGCTATAGTAAATTCAAGTGGGTAAAGAGTGCAGAGAGACTTCTTGAGACTGAGGCTTTCAAGTATCTGAAGTGGTTACACTATTTTCTCTAACAAGTTATATTCTATTATTCCTCCTTTTTAGGAGAAAAGCAGTATAAACTTCTTAGGTGTCCAGTGCATCATTTTTTCAAGTTAGATTTTGATGAATAAACTATCCTGGCAATCTAGAACTTATTAACATTTTATAAGGTATTCTTATCCTCCCTCCTTTCCGGGAGCCCTAAGAAGAGCTGAAGACTCAAGTTAGGGCAGTTTTAAATAAAACAAAAAAGGGTGAAGACAGTGCTAGACCTCCAAAACTATTATTTTCTGTTGTCAAACTATAGGAAGAAAGTAGACAGTTTGGAGCCGGCCACATAGTACTTGCTAAATGTTTGTTAAAGAATGAGCAGGCCAGGCACAGTGGGTCACGACTGTAATCTCAGCACTTTGGGAGACTGAGGCAGTTGGATCATGAGGTCATGAGCTTGAGATCAGCCTGGCCAACATGGTGAAACCCCGTCTCTACTAAAAATACAAACATTAGCCAGGTGTGGTGGTGGGCGCCTGTAATCCTAGCTACTCGGAAAGCTGAGGCAGGGGAATTGCTTGAATTGAGGAGGCCGAGGTTGCAGTATGCCCAGATCGCCCCACTGCACTCCAGCCTGTGTGACAGAGCAAGACTCCGTCTGGGTGGGGGTGCGGGGGGAATGAGCAATGAGTTAATGAATAAATCGATGAATGCATGACATGAAATAAAATTAATGAATAGGTCTATTTTAGGATAGTCACTCTGTCTACTTGTTTCCTATCTTGGTTATTTGCTAGAATGACAATTCGCAATTACTGTTTGTTAGCACATTAGGGAAGCAGCAGCCTAGGAAAGCTAGAATAACACCATTTTAAGTTTGGCTTCATTTTAGGACTAACAAGGCACATTCCTTGCCTGTCATGACCCATAGTCATGAGATGTTTACATTTAAGGAAACAGTCTTAAGATACCTAGAAAGGACTCATTCCTACAACAGCAAGAAGTCCAAATGTCCTACTAGCCACAACAATATATGCCTTCAAGATCATCATAGTTATGGTTTGATGTATTCACATGCTAAAATATCAAGAATTGTCTTCTTTTTTTTTTTTTTTTTTTTTTTGAAACGGGGTTTTCGCTCATTACCCAGGCTGGAGTGCAATGGCGCAATCTCGGCTCACCGCAACCTCCGCCTCCTGGGTTTAGGCAATTCTCCTGCCTCAGCCTCCTGAGTAGCTGGGATTACAGGCACGCGCCACCATGCCCAGCTAATGTTTCATATTTTTAGTAGAGACGGGGTTTCACCATGTTGACCAGGATGGTCTCAATCTCTTGACCTCGTGATCCACCCGCCTCGGCCTCCCAAAGTGCTGGGATTACAGGCTTGAACCACCGCGCCCGGCCAAGAATTGTCTTCTTTAAGTCAACAGAGTAACAAATTTTGTCATGTTGTCTGCTCTCCCGCATGTAGACACAGCTTAGCTTAGCTTTTACATAGGTAAGACTACTATATAAGAAAAACTGGCCAGGCACTGTGGCTCACGCCTGTAGTCCCAAATTTGGGAGGGCGAGGCGGGCAGATCACAAGTTCAGGAGTTTGAGACCAGCCTGACCAATATGGTGAAATCCAGTCTCTACTAAAAATACAAAAATTAGCTGGAAGTGGTGGCGGGCGCCTGTAGTCCCAGCTACCTGGGAGGCTAAGGCAGGAGAATTACTTGAACTCGGGAGGCAGAGGTTGCACTCCAGCCTGGGCAATAGAGTTAGATTCCGTAAAAAAGAAAAAAGAGTGTTTCTCCTACTTTCTGAGGATGTCCTGCTCTGCAACAGAGTTCTAATAAACTTGCTTCTTTCACTACACTCTGCAACTCACCCTGAATTCCCTCCTGCAAGAGAGCCAAGAACGCTCTCTTCAGGGTCTGGATGGAGAACACTTTTTCCGGTAATGGAAGTACCAAAATGCAGTGAGCCATGATATGTCACTGCACTCCAGCCTGGGTGACAGTGAGACCCTGTCTCGAAAAAAAAAAAACCCTAAAATGTGTATTAAGGAATTTGGGACAAATTGTAATCATTCAGAATTATGCATTGAGCACTAGCTTTCCTATGGTACACCTCAATGCTAAATATTTAAGACTTTAAAATATAGTTAAGGAGCTATGTTGGCCGGGCGCGGTGGCTCAAGCCTGTAATCCCAGCACTTTGGGAGGCCGAGGCAGGTGGATCACGAGGTCAAGAGATCGAGACCATCCTGGTCAACATGGTGAAACCCCGTCTATATTAAAAATACAAAAAATTGGCTGGGCATGGTGGTGCGTGCCTGTAATCCCAGCTACTCAGGAAGCTGAGGCAGGAGAATTGCCTGAAC